TATACCACAGTATCTCAGTATACCACAGTATCTCAGTATACCACAGTATCTCAGTATACCACAGTATCTCAGTATACCACAGTATCTCGGTATACCACAGTATCTCAGTATACCACAGTATCTCAGTATACCACAGTATCTCGGTATACCACAGTATCTCAGTATACCACAGTATCTCAGTATACCACAGTATCTCAGTATACCACAGTATCTCAGTATACCACAGTATCTCGGTATACCACAGTATCTCAGTATACCACAGTATCTCGGTATACCACAGTATCTCGGTATACCACAGTATCTCAGTATACCACAGTATCTCGGTATACCACAGTATCTCAGTATACCACAGTATCTCAGTATACCACAGTATCTCAGTATACCACAGTATCTCAGTATACCACAGTATCTCGGTATACCACAGTATCTCAGTATACCACAGTATCTCGGTATACCACAGTATCTCAGTATACCACAGTATCTCGGTATACCACAGTATCTCGGTATACCACAGTATCTCAGTATACTACAGTATCTCAGTATACCACAGTATCTCGGTATACCACAGTATCTCAGTATACCACAGTATCTCAGTATACCACAGTATCTCAGTATACCACAGTATCTCAGTATACCACAGTATCTCGGTATACCACAGTATCTCAGTATACCACAGTATCTCGGTATACCACAGTATCTCGGTATACCACAGTATCTCAGTATACCACAGTATCTCGGTATACCACAGTATCTCAGTATACCACAGTATCTCAGTATACCACAGTATCTCAGTATACCACAGTATCTCAGTATACCACAGTATCTCGGTATACCACAGTATCTCAGTATACCACAGTATCTCGGTATACCACAGTATCTCAGTATACCACAGTATCTCAGTATACCACAGTATCTCAGTATACCACAGTATTTCAGTATACCACAGTATCTCAGTATACCACAGTATCTCAGTATACCACAGTATCTCAGTATACCACAGTATCTCAGTATACCACAGTATCTCAGTATACCACAGTATCTCAGTATGGGTTAGGGTTGCCATTTACCACAGGCAAATGGCAACCTCGAACAGGTGACGAGGAAACAGGGTGCTCTGCTCTGCAAAGAAGACTGTGGGCTGTGAGCTTCCTGTTCTGGAGGCTCTAGACTTTTAAACCGAGCTCTTAGAATTATCAACGACTCTTCTGGCCACCCTGGAAAAGCCTTGTTCCAGCTTCTTCCTTCTGGCAGAAGATATCGTTCTCTGAGATGCAGGACATCTCGACATGCTAACAGCTTCTTCCCACAAGCTGTTATACGTTTGAACAGAGCACTTTAATGATCTTGCACTTTTTTAGCCGATCGTTTTCACAGTGACAATTGTTTTACTGTTTTATTTGGGGGTTTTTTCTGTACTTTTAATGTTGTTTTATGTCTGTACTTGTGCACACTGAGGACTTTTGCTAATGAATTCCAATGTGGTTTTACTGCAAATGGCAAATAAAAAAATAATCTGAACCAGTGATCAGACCCTGCAGGAATAATCAGGGGCCAAAGGAAGAGATTCAGACCACGGATGTTAAAACTAAAAGCTCCTTACCATGCATGGCGGGTGGCACCCTGAGACTGTACGTAAGCCGTAAAGAAGGAGGCCGAGGACTAGTGAGTGTTAGAGCCACTGTCACTCCATAACTACATCATGGAGAAGGAGGTGAATAAGGAGGTGCTGGAGGAGAGCCACTGTCCAGAACCAAACATCCAAACTCCATAACTACATCATGGAGAAGGAGGTGAATGAGGAGGTGCAGGAGGAGAGCCACTGTCCAGGACCAAACATCCAAACTCCATAACTACATCATGGAGAAGGAGGTGAATGAGGAGGTGCAGGAGGAGAGCCACTGTCCAGGACCAAACATCCAAACTCCATAACTACATCATGGAGAAGGAGGTGAATGAGGAGGTGCAGGAGGAGAGCCACTGTCCAGGACCAAACTCCATAACTACATCATGGAGAAGGAGGTGAATGAGGAGGTGCTGGAGGAGAGCCACTGTCCAGGACCAAACATCCAAACTCCATAACTACATCATGGAGAAGGAGGTGAATGAGGAGGTGCTGGAGGAGAGCCACTGTCCAGGACCAAACATCCAAACTCCATAACTACATCATGGAGAAGGAGGTGAATGAGGAGGTGTGGAGGAGAGCCACTGTCCAGGACCAAACATCCAAACTCCATAACTACATCATGGAGAAGGAGGTGAATGAGGAGGTGCTGGAGGAGAGCCACTGTCCAGGACCAAACATCCAAACTCCATAACTACATCATGGAGAAGGAGGTGAATGAGGAGGTGCTGGAGGAGAGCCACTGTCCAGGACCAAACATCCAAACTCCATAACTACATCATGGAGAAGGAGGTGAATGAGGAGGTGCTGGAGGAGAGCCACTGTCCAGGACCAAACACCAAACTCCATAACTACATCATGGAGAAGGAGGTGAATGAGGAGGTGCTGGAGGAGAGCCACTGTCCAGGACCAAACATCCAAACTCCATAACTACATCATGGAGAAGGAGGTGAATGAGGAGGTGCTGGAGGAGAGCCACTGTCCAGGACCAAACATCCAAACTCCATAACTACATCATGGAGAAGGAGGTGAATGAGGAGGTGCTGGAGGAGAGCCACTGTCCAGGACCAAACATCCAAACTCCATAACTACATCATGGAGAAGGAGGTGAATGAGGAGGTGCTGGAGGAGAGCCACTGTCCAGGACCAAACATCCAAACTCCATAACTACATCATGGAGAAGGAGGTGAATGAGGAGGTGCAGGAGGAGAGCCACTGTCCAGGACCAAACATCCAAACTCCATAACTACATCATGGAGAAGGAGGTGAATGAGGAGGTGCTGGAGGAGAGCCACTGTCCAGGACCAAACATCCAAACTCCATAACTACATCATCATGGAGAAGGAGGTGAATGAGGAGGTGCTGGAGGAGAGCCACTGTCCAGGACCAAACATCCAAACTCCATAACTACATCATGGAGAAGGAGGTGAATGAGGAGGTGCTGGAGGAGAGCCACTGTCCAGGACCAAACATCCAAACTCCATAACTACATCATGGAGAAGGAGGTGAATGAGGAGGTGCTGGAGGAGAGCCACTGTCCAGGACCAAACATCCAAACTCCATAACTACATCATGGAGAAGGAGGTGAATGAGGAGGTGCTGGAGGAGAGCCACTGTCCAGGACCAAACATCCAAACTCCATAACTACATCATGGAGAAGGAGGTGAATGAGGAGGTGCAGGAGGAGAGCCACTGTCCAGGACCAAACATCCAAACTCCATAACTACATCATGGAGAGAAGGGGTAGTAATGAGGAGGTGCTGGAGGAGAGCCACTGTCCAGGACCAAACATCCAAACTCCATAACTACATCATGGAGAAGGAGGTGAATGAGGAGGTGCGGAGGAGAGCCACTGTCCAGGACCAAACATCCAAACTCCATAACTACATCATGGAGAAGGAGGTGAATGAGGAGGTGCTGGAGGAGAGCCACTGTCCAGGACCAAACATCCAAACTCCATAACTACATCATGGAGAAGGAGGTGAATGAGGAGGTGCAGGAGGAGAGCCACTGTCCAGGACCAAACATCCAAACTCCATAACTACATCATGGAGAAGGAGGTGAATGAGGAGGTGCTGGAGGAGAGCCACTGTCCAGGACCAAACATCCAAACTCCATAACTACATCATGGAGAAGGAGGTGAATGAGGAGGTGCTGGAGGAGAGCCACTGTCCAGGACCAAACATCCAAACTCCATAACTACATCATGGAGAAGGAGGTGAATGAGGAGGTGCTGGAGGAGAGCCACTGTCCAGGACCAAACATCCAAACTCCATAACTACATCATGGAGAAGGAGGTGAATGAGGAGGTGCAGGAGGAGAGCCACTGTCCAGGACCAAACATCCAAACTCCATAACTACATCATGGAGAAGGAGGTGAATGAGGAGGTGCTGGAGGAGAGCCACTGTCCAGGACCAAACATCCAAACTCCATAACTACATCATGGAGAAGGAGGTGAATGAGGAGGTGCAGGAGGAGAGCCACTGTCCAGGACCAAACATCCAAACTCCAGAACTACATCATGGAGAAGGAGGTGAATGAGGAGGTGCTGGAGGAGAGCCACTGTCCAGGACCAAACATCCAAACTCCATAACTACATCATGGAGAAGGAGGTGAATGAGGAGGTGCAGGAGGAGAGCCACTGTCCAGGACCAAACATCCAAACTCCAAACTACATCATGGAGAAGGAGGTGAATGAGGAGGTGCAGGAGGAGAGCCACTGTCCAGGACCAAATCCAAACTACATCATGGAGAAGGAGGTGAATGAGGAGGTGCTGGAGGAGAGCCACTGTCCAGGACCAAACATCCAAACTCCATAACTACATCATGGAGAAGGAGGTGAATGAGGAGGTGCTGGAGGAGAGCCACTGTCCAGGACCAAACATCCAAACTCCATAACTACATCATGGAGAAGGAGGTGAATGAGGAGGTGCAGGAGGAGAGCCACTGTCCAGGACCAAACATCCAAACTCCATAACTACATCATGGAGAAGGAGGTGAATGAGGAGGTGCTGGAGGAGAGCCACTGTCCAGGACCAAACATCCAAACTCCATAACTACATCATGGAGAAGGAGGTGAATGAGGAGGTGCGGAGGAGAGCCACTGTCCAGGACCAAACATCCAAACTCCATAACTACATCATGGAGAAGGAGGTGAATGAGGAGGTGCTGGAGGAGAGCCACTGTCCAGGACCAAACATCCAAACTCCATAACTACATCATGGAGAAGGAGGTGAATGAGGAGGTGCTGGAGGAGAGCCACTGTCCAGGACCAAACATCCAAACTCCATAACTACATCATGGAGAAGGAGGTGAATGAGGAGGTGCTGGAGGAGAGCCACTGTCCAGGACCAAACATCCAAACTCCATAACTACATCATGGAGAAGAGGTGAATGAGGAGGTGCAGGAGGAGAGCCACTGTCCAGGACCAAACATCCAAACTCCATAACTACATCATGGAGAAGGAGGTGAATGAGGAGGTGCTGGAGGAGAGCCACTGTCCAGGACCAAACATCCAAACTCCATAACTACATCATGGAGAAGGAGGTGAATGAGGAGGTGCTGGAGGAGAGCCACTGTCCAGGACCAAACATCCAAACTCCATAACTACATCATGGAGAAGGAGGTGAATGAGGAGGTGCTGGAGGAGAGCCACTGTCCAGGACCAAACATCCAAACTCCATAACTACATCATGGAGAAGGAGGTGAATGAGGAGGTGCAGGAGGAGAGCCACTGTCCAGGACCAAACATCCAAACTCCATAAACTACATCATGGAGAAGGAGGTGAATGAGGAGGTGCTGGAGGAGAGCCACTGTCCAGGACCAAACATCCAAACTCCATAACTACATCATGGAGAAGGAGGTGAATGAGGAGGTGCTGGAGGAGAGCCACTGTCCAGGACCAAACATCCAAACTCCATAACTACATCATGGAGAAGGAGGTGAATGAGGAGGTGCTGGAGGAGAGCCACTGTCCAGGACCAAACATCCAAACTCCATAACTACATCATGGAGAAGGAGGTGAATGAGGAGGTGCAGGAGGAGAGCCACTGTCCAGGACCAAACATCCAAACTCCGTAACTACATCATGGAGAAGGAGGTGAATGAGGAGGTGCTGGAGGAGAGCCACTGTCCAGGACCAAACATCCAAACTCCATAACTACATCATGGAGAAGGAGGTGAATGAGGAGGTGCTGGAGGAGAGCCACTGTCCAGGACCAAACATCCAAACTCCATAACTACATCATGGAGAAGGAGGTGAATGAGGAGGTGCTGGAGGAGAGCCACTGTCCAGGACCAAACATCCAAACTCCATAACTACATCATGGAGAAGGAGGTGAATGAGGAGGTGCAGGAGGAGAGCCACTGTCCAGGACCAAACATCCAAACTCCATAACTACATCATGGAGAAGGAGGTGAATGAGGAGGTGCTGGAGGAGAGCCACTGTCCAGGACCAAACATCCAAACTCCATAACTACATCATGGAGAAGGAGGTGAATGAGGAGGTGCTGGAGGAGAGCCACTGTCCAGGACCAAACATCCAAACTCCATAACTACATCATGGAGAAGGAGGTGAATGAGGAGGTGCTGGAGGAGAGCCACTGTCCAGGACCAAACATCCAAACTCCATAACTACATCATGGAGAAGGAGGTGAATGAGGAGGTGCTGGAGGAGAGCCACTGTCCAGGACCAAACATCCAAACTCCATAACTACATCATGGAGAAGGAGGTGAATGAGGAGGTGCAGGAGGAGAGCCACTGTCCAGGACCAAACATCCAAACTCCATAACTACATCATGGAGAAGGAGGTGAATGAGGAGGTGCAGAGGAGAGCCACTGTCCAGGACCAACAAACCAAACTCCATAACTACATCATGGAGAAGGAGGTGAATGAGGAGGTGCTGGAGGAGAGCCACTGTCCAGGACCAAACATCCAAACTCCATAACTACATCATGGAGAAGGAGGTGAATGAGGAGGTGCAGGAGGAGAGCCACTGTCCAGGACCAAACATCCAAACTCCATAACTACATCATGGAGAAGGAGGTGAATGAGGAGGTGCAGGAGGAGAGCCACTGTCCAGGACCAAACATCCAAACTCCATAACTACATCATGGAGAAGGAGGTGAATGAGGAGGTGCTGGAGGAGAGCCACTGTCCAGGACCAAACATCCAAACTCCATAACTACATCATGGAGAAGGAGGTGAATGAGGAGGTGCTGGAGGAGAGCCACTGTCCAGGACCAAACATCCAAACTCCATAACTACATCATGGAGAAGGAGGTGAATGAGGAGGTGCTGGAGGAGAGCCACTGTCCAGGACCAAACATCCAAACTCCATAACTACATCATGGAGAAGGAGGTGAATGAGGAGGTGCAGGAGGAGAGCCACTGTCCAGGACCAAACATCCAAACTCCATAACTACATCATGGAGAAGGAGGTGAATGAGGAGGTGCTGGAGGAGAGCCACTGTCCAGGACCAAACATCCAAACTCCAGAACTACATCATGGAGAAGGAGGTGAATGAGGAGGTGCTGGAGGAGAGCCACTGTCCAGGACCAAACATCCAAACTCCATAACTACATCATGGAGAAGGAGGTGAATGAGGAGGTGCAGGAGGAGAGCCACTGTCCAGGACCAAACATCCAAACTCCAGAACTACATCATGGAGAAGGAGGTGAATGAGGAGGTGCTGGAGGAGAGCCACTGTCCAGGACCAAACATCCAAACTCCATAACTACATCATGGAGAAGGAGGTGAATGAGGAGGTGCAGGAGGAGAGCCACTGTCCAGGACCAAACATCCAAACTCCATAACTACATCATGGAGAAGGAGGTGAATGAGGAGGTGCTGGAGGAGAGCCACTGTCCAGGACCAAACATCCAAACTCCAGAACTACATCATGGAGAAGGAGGTGAATGAGGAGGTGCTGGAGGAGAGCCACTGTCCAGGACCAAACATCCAAACTCCATAACTACATCATGGAGAAGGAGGTGAATGAGGAGGTGCAGGAGGAGAGCCACTGTCCAGGACCAAACATCCAAACTCCAGAACTACATCATGGAGAAGGAGGTGAATGAGGAGGTGCAGGAGGAGAGCCACTGTCCAGGACCAAACATCCAAACTCCATAACTACATCATGGAGAAGGAGGTGAATGAGGAGGTGCAGGAGGAGAGCCACTGTCCAGGACCAAACATCCAAACTCCATAACTACATCATGGAGAAGGAGGTGAATGAGGAGGTGCTGGAGGAGAGCCACTGTCCAGGACCAAACATCCAAACTCCAGAACTACATCATGGAGAAGGAGGTGAATGAGGAGGTGCTGGAGGAGAGCCACTGTCCAGGACCAAACATCCAAACTCCATAACTACATCATGGAGAAGGAGGTGAATGAGGAGGTGCAGGAGGAGAGCCACTGTCCAGGACCAAACATCCAAACTCCAGAACTACATCATGGAGAAGGAGGTGAATGAGGAGGTGCAGGAGGAGAGCCACTAACCACTGAGGTCTCTCTGTCTTGCAGGAGGTTCAACAGAAACCCCGTGGCTCAGCTCTGGTACTTTGTGAAGTGCATTTACTTCGGGCTCTCTGCGTATCAGATCAAATGTGGATATCCAAACCGTATCCTGGGGAACTTCCTGACCAAGAACTACAACTACCTCAACCTGTTCCTGTTCCAGGGGTAAGGGGCCTCATGCTAACATGCTAACATACCTCATGCTAACGTGCCTCATGCTAACATACCTCATGCTAACGTATCTCATGCTAACATGTCTCATGCTAATGTGCTTCATGCTAACTTACCTCATGCTAACATACCTCATGCTAACATACCTCATGCTAACATACCTCATGCTAACATACCTCATGCTAACATGCTTCATGCTAACATACCTCATGCTAACATACCTCATGCTAACATGCTTCATGCTAACTTACCTCATGCTAACTTATCTCATGCTAACATACCTCATGCTAACATACCTCATGCTAACATGCTTCATGCTAACATGCTTCATGCTAACATGCTTCATGCTAACATGCTTCATGCTAACATACCTCATGCTAACATACCTCATGCTAACATACCTCATGCTAACATGCTTCATGCTAACATACCTCATGCTAACATATCTCATGCTAACATGCTTCATGCTAACTTACCTCATGCTAACATACCTCATGCTAACTTACCTCATGCTAACATACCTCATGCTAACTTACCTCATGCTAACATACCTCATGCTAACATGCTTCATGCTAACATGCTTCATGCTAACTTACCTCATGCTAACATACCTCATGCTAACTTACCTCATGCTAACATACCTCATGCTAACTTACCTCATGCTAACTTACCTCATGCTAACATACCTCATGCTAACATACCTCATGCTAACATGCTTCATGCTAACTTACCTCATGCTAACATACCTCATGCTAACATACCTCATGCTAACGTCTCTCATGCTAACGTGCCTCATGCTAACATACCTCATGCTAACATGCCTCATGCTAACATACCTCATGCTAACTTACCTCATGCTAACGTGCCTCATGCTAACATACCTCATGCTAACATGCTTCATGCTAACTTACCTCATGCTAACATACCTCATGCTAACATACCTCATGCTAACATATCTCATGCTAACATGCCTCATGCTAACATGCCTCATGCTAACCTACCTCATGCTAACATACCTCATGCTAACATACCTCATGCTAACATACCTCATGCTAACATACCTCATGCTAACATACCTCATGCTAACATACCTCATGCTAACGTCTCTCATGCTAACGTGCCTCATGCTAACATACCTCATGCTAACATGCCTCATGCTAACATACCTCATGCTAACATACCTCATGCTAACGTGCCTCATGCTAACGTGCCTCATGCTAACATACCTCATGCTAACATACCTCATGCTAACATACCTCATGCTAACATACCTCATGCTAACGTGCCTCATGCTAACATACCTCATGCTAACATACCTCATGCTAACATACCTCATGCTAACATACCTCATGCTAACGTCTCTCATGCTAACGTGCCTCATGCTAACATACCTCATGCTAACATGCCTCATGCTAACATACCTCATGCTAACATACCTCATGCTAACGTGCCTCATGCTAACATACCTCATGCTAACATACCTCATGCTAACATACCTCATGCTAACATACCTCATGCTAACATGCTTCATGCTAACGTGCCTCATGCTAACATGCTTCATGCTAACATACCTCATGCTAACATACCTCATGCTAACATGCTTCATGCTATGCTAACATACCTCATGCTAACATACCTCATGCTAACATACCTCATGCTAACATACCTCATGCTAACATACCTCATGCTAACATGCTTCATGCTAACATACCTCATGCTAACATACCTCATGCTAACATACCTCATGCTAACATACCTCATGCTAACATATCTCATGCTAACATACCTCATGCTAACATACCTCATGCTAACATGCTTCATGCTAACATACCTCATGCTAACATGCTTCATGCTAACATACCTCATGCTAACATACCTCATGCTAACATACCTCATGCTAACATGCTTCATGCTAACATACCTCATGCTAACATATCTCATGCTAACATGCTTCATGCTAACATACCTCATGCTAACATACCTCATGCTAACATACCTCATGCTAACATACCTCATGCTAACATGCTTCATGCTAACATACCTCATGCTAACATGCTTCATGCTAACATACCTCATGCTAACATACCTCATGCTAACATACCTCATGCTAACATACCTCATGCTAACATACCTCATGCTAACATGCTTCATGCTAACATACCTCATGCTAACATACCTCATGCTAACATACCTCATGCTAACATGCTTCATGCTAACATACCTCATGCTAACATACCTCATGCTAACATACCTCATGCTAACATACCTCATGCTAACATGCTTCATGCTAACTTACCTCATGCTAACATACCTCATGCTAACATACCTCATGCTAACATACCTCATGCTAACATGCTTCATGCTAACATACCTCATGCTAACATACCTCATGCTAACATACCTCATGCTAACATACCTCATGCTAACATACCTCATGCTAACATACCTCATGCTAACATACCTCATGCTAACATACCTCATGCTAACATACCTCATGCTAACATACCTCATGCTAACATACCTCATGCTAACATACCTCATGCTAACATGCTTCATGCTAACATACCTCATGCTAACATGCTTCATGCTAACATACCTCATGCTAACATACCTCATGCTAACATACCTCATGCTAACATACCTCATGCTAACATACCTCATGCTAACATGCTTCATGCTAACATACCTCATGCTAACATACCTCATGCTAACATACCTCATGCTAACATGCTTCATGCTAACATACCTCATGCTAACATACCTCATGCTAACATACCTCATGCTAACATACCTCATGCTAACATGCTTCATGCTAACTTACCTCATGCTAACATACCTCATGCTAACATACCTCATGCTAACATACCTCATGCTAACATGCTTCATGCTAACATACCTCATGCTAACATACCTCATGCTAACATACCTCATGCTAACATGCTTCATGCTAACATACCTCATGCTAACATACCTCATGCTAACATACCTCATGCTAACATACCTCATGCTAACATACCTCATGCTAACATACCTCATGCTAACATACCTCATGCTAACATACCTCATGCTAACATACCTCATGCTAACATACCTCATGCTAACATGCTTCATGCTTCATGCTAACTTACCTCATGCTAACATACCTCATGCTAACATACCTCATGCTAACATGCTTCATGCTAACATACCTCATGCTAACATACCTCATGCTAACATACCTCATGCTAACATGCTTCATGCTAACTTACCTCATGCTAACATACCTCATGCTAACATACCTCATGCTAACATACCTCATGCTAACATGCTTCATGCTAACATACCTCATGCTAACATACCTCATGCTAACATACCTCATGCTAACATGCTTCATGCTAACATACCTCATGCTAACATACCTCATGCTAACATACCTCATGCTAACATACCTCATGCTAACATACCTCATGCTAACATACCTCATGCTAACATACCTCATGCTAACATACCTCATGCTAACATGCTTCATGCTAACGTGCCTCATGCTAACATGCTTCATGCTAACATACCTCATGCTAACATACCTCATGCTAACATGCTTCATGCTAACATACCTCATGCTAACATACCTCATGCTAACATACCTCATGCTAACATACCTCATGCTAACATACCTCATGCTAACATGCTTCATGCTAACATACCTCATGCTAACATACCTCATGCTAACATACCTCATGCTAACATACCTCATGCTAACATATTTCATGCTAACATACCTCATGCTAACATACCTCATGCTAACATGCTTCATGCTAACATACCTCATGCTAACATGCTTCATGCTAACATACCTCATGCTAACATACCTCATGCTAACATACCTCATGCTAACATGCTTCATGCTAACATACCTCATGCTAACATATCTCATGCTAACATGCTTCATGCTAACATACCTCATGCTAACATACCTCATGCTAACATACCTCATGCTAACATACCTCATGCTAACATACCTCATGCTAACATGCTTCATGCTAACATACCTCATGCTAACATGCTTCATGCTAACATACCTCATGCTAACATACCTCATGCTAACATACCTCATGCTAACATACCTCATGCTAACATACCTCATGCTAACATACCTCATGCTAACATACCTCATGCTAACGTGCCTCATGCTAACATACCTCATGC